TTGGTGAAAGGCAAATGCGCTATCCACTGCGCCACCCGACCACCCAACAATAAAACAAATATAACAATTTGACAATGGGGATAAAATAATATCTCCTTTTTACACTAATTTTAAGTATTAATTATAGTGCAATGTTTATAATTACCTTCTGCCAGTAGTCGATACCGAATCTCATGTACCAGATGTCACAGTCGCGGTAGTCAAACCGGTGGATCACCGTCACTTTGTTGTCTTTGGGTTTGAGAGCTGTTTCTGTGTCACTGAGCAGACCTGGCTTCCAGCAGATAATACAGTTTTCACAGGACTGCAAAGATAAAGTACTGATGATACTTACGTTTCTGCAGAAATTTGTTTGAGAAATGAATATTACCAAGGCTATATGGTCCAAGGGAGATAATAACCTCCCTAGAACTCCTAGACATGCATAAACATAATTTCTTTTTTCATGTTACATCTTAGAACATAACTCTTTATTGTCACATATTCATGGCAAAATTTGGAAAAGACTTTTAACACTACAAAATGCCTGTTTACTTATTGGGTCATCTCACAAATTGGAGTCATGTCAGGACATTTGGGAAAGTATGCTTGTGACTGGATTTTTTTCCCATAGTGCCATCTTACTTGAATTTAACACCACAGACACTGAAGCACACACCCAAGACCATTTTATACTCCACTTGGCTTATCAAAGTTATCACAAACTCCTAATGTACATCTGATAGGAACACATCAAATTCTTGAGACTAGAACTATTTGAGTGGAAATAAAATGTATTGGAAATATTACCAAACTTATGAATCATATCAAGCTAAATACCCAGCTATACTTCACCTAAGATGTTAAAAGGTCGTTGAACAAAATAGAACCGTGAACCAAACTTCGATGTTGATTAAGTTGATGCTCAGATTGATCCTTGTCATTGCAAAAGGGGGTCAAAATTGGAATACATATGTTCTTGCTAATACAGACAAGACAGATTTTTTTTATAAATATACTACAGGATCTGATAATCGGCATATTTCAACCCTATAGTGCACATGGCATCTTCCAAATAATTATAATTCAATAAGATAGAAAATATAACCACTAATGACTTATTGGATTTTCTGTATCATAGATGCTTACCTTAGACAAAACAAATCTACCAAGCCATCGCACACAGTCTACGTAGTTTCTGTGGACATCTCGCGTAGAAAAATCAGGGAAATGCTGAAATACTGTGGTGAATCTTCTGCAATGACATGAACATTAACATGAACATGAACATTAACATGAACATGAACATTAACATGAGGCCCAAGTGGATGCATATCATTTATTTGTGAATGCATCAGACTTTATCAAAGCATATTTTTGTTTTTTTTATTTGACTGAAATCAATTGCACACAAGGTTAACATGAAAACATGGGTTCATTTTATATGTTTTAGATCCATTTGACCTTCATTATCATATACATATACCTAAGGATGTTTGTAATGAAAACAAAAACAACAACAAAACAGTGTCCTGAGAACTACTCCCATATATCATGCAAAATTGACCTCATTGGTATAAAATATATTTGGTACCTCAGGCTTAATCGTAAATTTCTTTCTTTTAAACAATTTTCTGTTAGTTTTAAATGAAATTCAGGAAACAAATGTTGTTTTTCTATAAAGGACCACTCCGACTGTAGGACATACGTTTTCCCCTGGGTGAAGTTGTAGGATTCTTTCAGAGCTGTTTGGATGGATTCATGGTCAGTCTTCCACATCTTTAAGGAATGATCCATGCCACAGGAAACAATAGTGGAACCATCCATGTTAAAGTCCTACGAAGTACATCAAATAAACAATATCTAAATAATCTTTGTTAAAGTCCTACAGAGTACATCAATATAAACAATATCTAAATAATCTTTATTAAAGTCCTACAGAGTACATCAATATAAATAATATCTAAATAATCTTTGTTAAAGTCCTACGGAGTACATCAATATAAATAATATCTAAATAATCCAAGTCGAAAGCCTCATGGAGTACATAAATGTACTTATGTACATATTTAAAATTTGTGAAACTACCTGTACTTTCTCAACATATCGGAAATTATATTACATTCTCAGACAGGAAAATCTCATGTTATACCTTACATTTTTTTTTGATCTCCTACAAGTGATTCTCTGCACCCCTAGATGACTAGATTTATGTCATGACAAAATTGAAGGCTTGCAGTAATAGCAATTGATTGGTGTCAGATAAAAAAAAACTTGACCAATTACTAGGCTGATACCTATCCTTTGAAGATTAAAGAGAAGCAACACCCAGTTGTTCAAAAAGGTGATTAGCCCAGGTTTTCATTTTTGTGTATCTATAAAACACAACCATTGAATTAGTTACAACT